TCCATGTCTCTGGAACTTCAGGCCTCACTCCCAGAATTCGAGATTCAGGAGTCACAGCCCTGGCTTTACGGCCAGTCCGTGCTGAGTTCAGAGAGCATCTCCTTGGTTAAAAGAAAGGGTTATAGGCGTTTGGTGTAGGTGTTAAAAACCAGCATACCCTCACCAAGACCTTCCTGTGCTCGTGCCCAGGAAAACGGAAGGAACTCAGGGGGCCAGAGGAGTGTGTGGAAAGAGAAAGGGTGACATGAATTTCACGCTGGAAGTGATCTCTTCCCTTACGTGATATTACGATCTCTGGAGTGTGCCTCCTCCAAAGACCACATTTTGAGAGACACGAGACACTGTGAGATACAGGGAGTTATATTTCAACACTCTGGAGTGGCAGTGCAACTGCCCACGCAGGGCCCAGAGGCCATGGCTCTGGACTCGAACCTGCGCATCACCGGTGTCGGACCCTCGGGAGGGAGTGGCAGGAAGCGGCCCCAGCGGGGTTCGGGGCACAGGCTGCGAGGCGCTCACAGAGCAGGACGGAGCAGCGGGGCTGGGGGCTGCTTCTCCTCTGTCTCCACATCACACCTGACTTCTCTCCCATGGCCGGCCGGTGTCGGTGGGTGTCACGCCCGGCCACTCCCCCCGGGGCTGGGGGCAGCTCTGGGCTCCTGATTGGAGAGGAAGGGTGGGCAGAGGACCCTCCCTCCAAGCTTTGCACAGAAGGCTCCAGGGATGGACTTGGCCTGGCCCTGTCTCTGACCCCTGCTCCCAGAACCTAGAGAGGTGGCCAGGGAGGGGGTGGCTAAGACTGGTCCGAGCAGGGCAGAGCCTGCCTCTGGTGGAGGGCGTGGGTTAAGGCCTTCGAGATGGGAAGCCCCACCCACAGTGCACTGCTGGAGTGGGGGAGGGGTGGGGCCCTTTCCCAAGAAGAGGGGCAGACGGCTGGGTGCAGACCAGCCCAGCTGTGCACCCGTCTCTGCCACTAACCAGCTCCTCGACTCGGAACCACGCAGGGTCTCAGCTTTTCTGTTTGCGGAGTGAGCGTGTGGACCTCAGCTGCAACGGATCCTGGTACTTCCGAGAATCCCATGTCCTTCTCGTGCTCTCCAACTTGCCGGAGAATTACCTGGCTCTGTTGAACACCCGAGAGTCGTGATTCCCCACGTTGCCTGGGAGGGGGACGGGCCGTTTAAAGAACGCCCTGCGCTGAGGATTTTTAAACATGTGAGGCCCATTCCTGGAGTCCTTGCTTCGCCTCGGGAGCCCGGATAGAGAGACCCACCCACACGCTTGCCACAGCGCACTGGGTGTCCCTCAGGAGGGCTCTGACCAGGCTGGGAGGTCCCCAGGGCTCAAGGCACAGGCGGCTGTCCTCCTGGTGCCAGCTGGTGGCGGGGAGGCAGCTCCGGGCCGGTTGGCTCCCAGACAGAGCTCGGCCAGCGGGAGTGGGACCCAATGGCCCTCACGCACAGCCGCATGCAGGCAGCTCTGTGCTTGGGGGAGGGTCAGAGGGCTGACTCCCAGCGATCTGCCATCACACCTGTTGTCATTCGTATGTGCAACCGTGAGGAAGTGCGTGAGTCCACGTAACCAGAGCCACAAATTGCCGCTTTCTCCAGTCTCCAGAGCGCCTTTAAAGAGCCGTGAATTCTCCCAGCAACACTGCCAAGGCCTCCTTCGCTGCCTCTGCGCCTTCCAGTTCCTTGTCTTCCCGCCTCTGGAGAGGGAAGGGGCGTGGCTGGCTCTGTGCGCGTTCTCCTCTGCCCTGCTCCCTGCTATTTCCGTTCCCAGGCTGAGATAGGGGACAAGGGGGTCAGGATAGAGTTCACTTGGATTGGTTCTATTGTGAGCTGGGTTTGCACGCCGTGGCCTGCCCTGGTTAGAACCGACTCTCTCTCCTGGCCGCTCGGAAGCTCCTGCACTCGCCCCCTCCCTCCCCCACCCAGCTGCACACCCAAACCCCCGAAGCCGCCCCCTGGGTGGGCTGCTGCCCTCAGCCCTGGGTCTCCTCAGCCCCCTTCCTGTTTGGACGCTCACTCCGGAGCTCCCTCGCCTTCCCAGGTTGGCTTCTGGGGCAGAGCTGAGGATTCTTGGTGGCCAACCCACCAGACAAGTTCACGTTTGGCTGACAACCTGCCTGGCTCCCCCTTGCCGTGCCACCAAAACAGCTCAGCAGCCCGCCCCTCCTGGTGGCTGCTGTGTCCTCAGACACCCGGGGACCCACAGGCTCGGTGCTGGCTCCCCCAAGTCCCTGCCCAGCCGCAGCGAGGCCACCCTGCCTGTCTCCAGGTCCTTCCTGTCCAGCCATCTCGGTCACCGTTTCCTCCATCTTTAAAGCCCGCTCCTGCGGGGACGGCCTCGGGCGTGGGGGTTAGTTCTCTGGTACCACCGTCTCAGCGGCGCTGTGGCGCGCCACCCTGACCTCCTCTGGCAGCCTCAGTCACAGTCTCACTGGAACTCACTGGAACAGGCCGTGAGCATGTGTTTTTAATGGCTGGTGGCAACAGCCCAGTTCAGGCTGGCTTCCATGCACAAGGGAGCGTGCTGGCTCACGCAGCCGAGGAAGTCCGGAGGGCGGGCACCCCATGTCTCTGTGCTTCTCCCCATTCTGTCCCGATTCTCCGGGGAGCCACGCGGGCGTGTGCCTCCTTGTTCGCATCCAGGGAGCAGAGGGCCAATGCGGCAGTCTTGAGATTCACTCTGATTGGACAGCGGAGGTGCAGCTGTCGTCCCCCCAGCCAATCCCTGTGGCCAGGGAAAGGAGCTCCACATGCCCTTGGCCCAGGGCTGGGGTGAAGGCCACCCCACGTTGGCGACTGTGGAAGAGAAGGGGGCTGTCCTGACTGGGTTACACCTCTGGGGACCCATCCCGAGAGCTGGTGGTGATGGTGGCGGCGCTGCTGGGGGTTAGACTCAGCCTTGCCCGGATGGGTGTCCAGGAGGCGGCTGCAACCACGCAGCCCGACATCATCTTACTGGAGTGGCTCACTTTGTCCCCACGTGAAATATGATGTTATGGGCATCTGAGCATTTTGTACTCATAATGCTTTGGACTGTGGGGAAATTCATTTTGCCCTGAGGCTAATTTCTCCATCAGGCAAGGTGCCTCGGGTCCATCGTATATTTTTAGGACCCCATGAAAATATTTTATTTTCCAATCAGAAGGAAAAAAAAGTTTTAGATAAAAGAAAATAGTTTTTTAAAAGATTTTAATGATATATTTTTACAGAGAGAAGGAAGGGAGAAAGAGAGGGAGAGAAATATCAATGTGTGGTTGCCTCTTGCATGTCCGCATACTGGGGTCCTGGCCTGCATCCCTGCCATGTGCACTGACTGGGAATCGAACTGGCTACCCTTTGGTTTTCAGGCCCGAGCTCAATCCACTGAGCCACACCAGCAAGGGCAGAAAATGTTTTTACTATATAACATTTATATATTAGTCTATAACAATACGGTTGTAAAATATAATTTGTGTTACTATTACTATTTATGGGGGAATGGGCCCCCCAAGGTCCAGTGCACAGGTGAGACAGTGATCCGGTGCCTGCTTTGCATTTTCTCTTTCCTGGGATACCCCACCCGGGAATCTAAGTGGTGCCAGTAGCGACCCAAAGTCCGGGGCAAAGAGGTCATCCCTTGAATCCCAAGATCACTACCCACTTGCTTAAAGACGTCGTTGGTGGGCTTTATGAACCTTGACCCTGAGACATCGCCTGGGCGGCGGCAGCGCGGGAGCTCGGCCGGCCTCCACCACAGCGGCAGGCCCAGGGAAGGCAGAGCTGCGGGTAAACAGGCACCTAACCCATTGGAAGCCCGCTCCGCTCCTCGGGTCGGACAGAGGCTGCCGGACGCGGGCCCAGTGCGCTAGACATGAAGTGTTGTCACGCACATCGCACCACTGAACCTGCGGAACGACCCACTCAACCTACGAAGGAGCCGGTTCTGGGCGGGCGAGGGGCGTGGCCGGTTTCCCGCGCGGGTCCTGCCTCGCGGGAGGGCAGCTCGACCCCAGGCTGCTGACCCCGAAGCTTTTGCTTTTTGCCAGGGGCCCCCAGCGCTGAAACTTGATGCGAAGAGTCTATCGGATCAGGCAAAGAGGGCAGTGACGTGGGACGCGCCCCGAGGGTCGCAGGAGCAGGCCCGGGGCCTCGGGGTGACTTTCTCTCCAGGGAGGCGGCCAGGCGGTCCGCGACGCTGCCGGCCTGTCCCCACCAGGCTCTCCCGCCCGGCCTGGTGGTGCTGGGACAGCGGAGATGGTCTGCCCTCGCCCCAGCGGAGGGCGCGACCGCCGGGACAGCGGCGCCCGGGGCGGGATGGCGGAGGCCGCGCCCCGCCCCCGGATCACCAGGCCGGCGCTCACGCGCGCGGCTCCGGCTGCTCTCTCCCGGGGTCAGTGTCCCGGGGGCCGGGGGCCGGGCGGCTCCCGAGCACCCGGCTCTCTGTCCCTCGCGTGGACCCGGGCACGGCGTCCACGCTGGCATCGCCTGGCGCTGGCGAGCAAGGCCGAGCCCGGGGCCACCGGCCCGCCGGACCGCGCCCGGGGCGGTGGGCCCAGCGGCCTGGGCTTTAACCAGCTCGCCGGTGGCTCGGGCACCTCGCGCAGGGGCCAGCCACGCGAGGCAGGTGCGCCCCTACTGCTCCCCGCCGGGTGCTGCGTGGGCGGCGCATTCGCTCGAGAACGGCCGTGACGGCCTCGCTGAGGGGTTCGGGCGCGTAACTTCGAGGAAGACACCACCCCTCGGTGTCGGCGGCTGCACTCCCCGGCGACGCGCGCCCGCCCCACCTCCGGCAGCCCCCGTTTGGAAGCGCAGAAAGCCTCACGCACGCGCAGTAACCACCCGGCCTGGCACCGCCCGGCAGGGAGCGCGCGCACCAGCGAGCGGCTCCCCCTCCCTCCTCCGTCAGGCCCCGCCCCTAGCGCGCGTTCCCTGCCGGGCTCCGCGGGCTCCTCCCGCCCTGCGCGTGCGCAGAGGCGGTACTTTTCCCGTGGTGCTCCGCGGCCGCCCGATTCGTAGGAATGGCGGGTGTTGCGTCGGAGGAGAGTTGCAAAGGATGCTCCTCCGCCAGCTGCGCGTGTGGCGAGAAGGGCACGTGGAGCAGCCCCTCACTGTTGAGCCGGCAACTCTCGGAAGGCTCGAGCCGCCACCAGCTGCTGCGGCAGTGGACGAGCACGTGGGACTCCCTAAGCGAGGCCGCGTCGGTGGCGGAGAGGACGCGGCGCGAGGGGCCTGCGGTGCCCTCCGAGGAGGAGGAGCAGCCGCTGGTGTTCCTGTGCGCCGGGTGCCGGCGGCCGCTGGGCGACTCCCTGAACTGGGTGACCTGCCAGGAGGACAGCAACTGCATCCTGCTGCGCTGTCAGTACCCGGGCTGGGTGCAGGGCCGCCCTCCCGAGATGCGCCGCACCCGGGCGGCCGGGGTTAGGCAGGCAGGGGGCGCGGGGCGGGCGCTTAGGCGCGACCCAGACTCTCTACGAGCAGAAAGTGAAAGAGGGTGATCGGCCCCGGGGAGAGATGGGGCTGACGATTGACAAGCCCTTATCTGGGGTCCCCCAGCCGTTCATCAGCAGCGGTCGAACCGGCACTGTTGTGGGCATCAGGCAGTGAAAACAGACCCACTGAGTTGTAAGCATGTGGGGTGTAGCCACGCCGAAGCGCGCCCCACAGACGTCAGCGGGCTGTGACTTTGGTAAACAATGTCGCACATGGTTTATTTAGCAAGTTCATCCCTTCCCTACCTGCTTCCTGCAAGGGGGCGTCGGGACTGATTTGCCGCCTCTGAGCACTCGAATCAGCAGACGCCTTTACGGTCTGGCGTGTCACCTCCATGGAGTTGACAGAACACAATGTTACCGACAATTTTTAAAACGAACTTGCAGTGAAAGCACCAATAATCCCGGGAAAACTGGAGAGGTAGGGGGTCTGATAGAAGAGTTAAGAAAGCTGGAGTTCTAGCTTTTAATCCTGGGGCCGCCGGTTACCTGCGTGTTCCCGCATCCCCTCTTGCGCTCGCACAGCATTCACACTCATTTAGGGCAGTGGTTCACGTGGGTTTTTTCTGAGTCAGTGTAAATATGGCTATCCTTTTTGGGCTTGTGGGTTTCAAGTTGAAGTGTGTGCTCCTTTTAATTGTATAACTATTTTGATGGCAGAAATTCACTCACAATTCATTGCCGTCCACGGACTGGTTTCCTTCCTGGGGTGACATGATGGGAGACAAGGAGGGCGCCAGTGTCCATGATTACCTGAACTCTCGCCCCTGCTGCTTCCCATAAGGACACGTCACTTCATTAACAGTGGTCACTGAGCCAGCACATTTAAACATGTCAACCTTTAAAAAACACACCTGAGGTGGTATTATTTATACATTAAGCATCCTTTTTCTCATTCCACACATGTGTTCTGAGTGTTTCTCCCTGTTAGTGTGTATAGACAGACTTCCTGATTGGAGCAGATGCAGGCCCCTTGCTTACAGGTGGCAGCACAGTCCCGAACTGTCCCTTCTCCTGTTTGGGTCCAAAGCCTGATGCCTCTCTGCCGTCGTTTTCTCCTCTGTAAAGGGAGAGTTTTACAAATTTAATGCCCTGCACCAATGAAAGATAAATGATCTCTTGGATTAATTTGCATTCCCTCCTGCCCCAATTTGAGTTAGTTGAATTGGTTTTACTTTGTCGAGGTTCATAACATTTACGTATTATTCTGTAGCCATAGCCATTAATTTGGCTTTAATGTAATGTTTATATGAACTCCTATCTCAAGCCCAGAACTCTTATTAACTTAAGGTTTCAGCCCTGGCTGATGTGGCTCAGTGGACTGAATGCTGGCCTGTGAACCAAAGGGTCGCTGGTTCAATTCCTAGTCAGGGCATATGCCTGGGTTGTGAGCTGGGTCCCCAGTAGGGGGCGTGCAAGAGGTAACCACACATTGATGTTTCCCTCTCTCCTTTCACCTCTCTAAAAATAAATAAATAAAAATTTAAAAAAAGTAAGAAGGCTCAGTAGCTTTAAAAAAATAAACCTCAGTTGTTCATTTGATAAATCATCATCAGTTGGCTCCCCATTCTCAAGCAAACTTCAAGTGTGAGTGCTTGGAAATGTCTTTCTGTTGTCTTTGGACACGAGGGCAGCTTGGCTGCGTGTCCAGCTCTGGGCCCACGCCCTGTGCTCTGGGCAGGCCCGGGGGGGCTGGCACCCAGGCCGTGCGTGGAATAAAGGTGAGGCTTGAGGAGGCAGGCGGGGGCCCCCAAACCCGGGGCCCGGTGGGCTGCAGGGAATCAGAATCTGTTCTAGTGGGTGAGGTGTGTAGGCAGGGGCGGGCCGTGACCCAGAGTTGCTTTGGAGGAAGCGTGGAGCCCAGTCAGGAGCTTGCGCAGCGGTCTGGGCAAGAGGGGGCGGGGGCGTGGGGGCTGGAGGGAGAGCTGTGAGGTGGGGTTGATGGGCTTCTCAGCCCAGTGGGTGATGGGGAGCAGAGCGACGCCCCGGTTTCTGATTCGAGCAATGGGATGGAGGGAGGTGGAACTTAGACTGTAGAGGAGGTGAAGCCGAGGGCCTGTTTGGGCCGTTGTGGGTCAGTGTCCCATTGTCTCCCCCTCCCCCTCCCCCCACCACCTCTGTCCGACGTCCCTGGACCTGGACCCTCTAGCCGTGTCTCTTGCTTCTTCTGGGCTTCAGCTGGGACCCCTGTCCAAGTCACAGCCTCAGAGATTTTTGGCTGCTCCTTGAGGACCCTCAGTTACTTTTAGAGAAGTCAGCTCTGCCTTCCATACCTGCAGACCTGAGCATCAGCCTGCAGTGTCTTCTTGGCTCTGGGCCCAGTTTTACTGCGTCTGGCAGGTGCTCACGGCCGTTGTTGGATTGAGGCTCCGATTGTTCCAGGTTTCTCTGTCAATCGAATTTTTCCCTCTAACTTCATTCATTTTGTTAATTTCAGTGGTTTTTCTGGGGAGGCACGTAAATCACCCTTACCCTGCCGCCCTTCCGCAGAGAACCCCTGCACACTTAGGTTTAAACCGCCACGCATGTGTGTGTGTGACTTTGGGCCCTTGCTTTTTCTGGCTCTCCTAGTCCTAAAATAAAAGTTGAATTACAGGTTCTCTAAATGTCTGTGTATGCATTATAACCAACCACATCAATAAATTGTTGTTCTTTTCTAGGTGTTTCCAGTAATGTGTCTGTGGACAAGGAACAGATACTATCCAAGCGTGAAAATGAAAATGGTTGGTGAGTGAGGCTGTATCTATGTAGATATGTGTGCTACAGAGATGGTTTAGTTTTCAAATAGAAGTCTTTAACAAGATTATTACCAGTAAGAGTACTTGGGAGAAACCTTTTCCATAGTAATCAGTAGAAAGTTAGTCATTGTTAATTTATCATTTCTTGGGTGATGGTGTCTCTTGTAGATACTGAGGTGGAGAAGTTTTTGTTTTTGTTTTTTTTAAATGCTCTCTTAGAGTCCATTTTTTTTAAAAAGATTGTCTTTATTTATCTTAAAGGGAGGGAGAAAGAGAGGGAGAGAAACATCAGTGTGTGGTTGCCTCTTGCGCACCCCCAGTTGGGAACCTGGCCCACAACCCAGGCATGTGCTCTGACCAGGAATCGAACTGGTGACCTCTCGTTTCACAGGCCGGGGCTCAGTCCACTGAGCTGTACCAGCCAGGGTGAGGTAGGAGAGTTTAAGCTACTGAAGGCACATTGTGACACTTCCTCTCTGGGTCGCTGGGCTTGGTGATGAAGAAAATCGGAAATAGTAAAAGAAAATATCTGTGTCTGGAAATCTCAGAGCCACAGGGCTCCTTAGAGCAGTGCTGCCCATCCCCCTTCCTGTCCCGGCCCCTGCGGAAGATGCTGATGTCACTCGGACTCCCGCACGCATACCCGGCCTTTGAGGTAGACAGAGAAGGCCGTGTGGCCAGAAGTGACAGCACGGGGCCAGCCACTCCCCTGGCGGCACACTGCCCCCCCGCTGTGAGAGCCGTCCTCCACAGAGGGAATGAGCGGCTCTGCCTCAGCGTGCGGTTGCCTGGAGCACACTTCAAAATGTGGCTTTTTTTTTCTATCCCTGGCTGGTGTAGCTCAGTGGATTGAGTGCGGGCTGCGAACCAAAGTGTCGCAGGTTCGATTCCCAGTCAGGGCACATGCCTGGGTTGCAGGCCATGACCCCCAGCAACCGCACATTGATGTTTCTCTCTCTCTTTCTCCCTCCCTTCCCTCTCTAAGAAATAAATAAATAAAATCTTAAAAAAGGAAAACCAGTGACTTTACAAAAATTAAAATAAATAAATAAATAAAATGTGTCTCTTCCTCTCTGGCGATGCTAGGCTGTCGCATTAAAATAATGTCTGTTTCAATTCAGAGTTTCTCCATTTAGGGAGAACGGGATTCCTAATAGAGGGAGTATGGGGGTGTGACATGCAGAACTTTTTTGTCTTATTTCCAAATCTTAGACACTTTTTAAAATTACTAGGTTGAAACATTTACTTCTCCCCGAGCACCCCCATAGTATGCTCTGCTGTCACCCCCATATGTGCCCCTTGTCACTAGGTGCTTAAAGCAGCGTGGCCTGGAAGCGACTGCCTGCATCCCTCGTGTACACATCTGACTGTCGTTCTTTCCCTGCGTTGTCCCTGGGGCCCAGCCGGGTCAGCACGGCACAGCTGGGCGACCCGGGTGTGTAATGCCTGTGGAGTGTGGCGGCGGGACGTGGGCAGGGAGCGGCCGCTCCGCTTGCTGACCCGCGGCGCTTCTCTCCGCAGCACCCTGCAGGCGCTGCGCTGCGCGGGCTGCGAGCAGCACCTCGGCTACGCCTACCGGTGCACGCCCGGCCACCTCGACTACAAGAGGGACCTGTTCTGCCTCGACGTGGACGCCGTTGAGAGGTAACCGGGCGGACGGACACCTCGCCTGAGCGCCCAAGGTGGTCGGTGGGGCGGTTGGCATGGAGACGCCAGAACTCATCAGCCCTTGGGTTAATTTATATTTTCAAGTAATAACTTCTGATAATACGGCCAGTGATTCTTTTTGCTTGTTTTGTTTTGACCTGATTTATTTGGTATCAGAAAAGTCAGACATTCAAAATTTTAAAGAGAAAACATGTGAGAACATTTTTCAGAGTAAAAATAATGTTGAGTAGTTCTTAAAAATAAAATTTAATTTAATGGGAGTTTTTTAAAAGCATTGGTGGATTAATATATTCAGTTTTACTTTTCTGCTCAGTTTTTGGCCTTCTAGAATATCCCAAAGAAACAGGAATGTCGAAGCTGAAATTTCCAGTTGGTGTTCTGGAAAAGTAGAAATACAAAGGCCAACTATTTCTGTTCCCTTGAGTCTAGTCAAGAATCGTCTTCGAGCTGTAATAGCATGACCAATAAAATATATATTTTTTAAAAGAATCGTCTTCTGCTCCTTGGAGAGGGGCGAGGACACGCCTCCACTCTCAGATTCCAGGACAGTGTCAGGAAGCACGGCGAATTACGGTCTGAGGACAATTTCAGATACCTTACTGGCTTTCCAGTTCATCAGCCTTTCTTATAGGAAACACGAAATTAAGTAAATTAATTGGCCCCTGCTGTGTTTTCACGGACCCTGCAAAGGGTGAATCGGGGCGGGGCCGGCAGAAAGGGCGGGGCCGCACCTTGGTCACTGGAGGCGGTTTGACCCTCCTGTTGAATCTCTGACATTTTCTTAAAAAATTTAAAACCCTATTTTTATTATAATTTCTAATTACTCTGTAATAAGTGCAGTTTCGCCAGCTTCTTTGAAACCGGAAAGGTTCCAATCAGAATTTTCAGATCTGCAAACTGTGTACAGCTCCAGCCCCAAAGAGCAGGCCCAGGGCCGCCCCTGGGTGTGGAGCGCGGGGTCCGCCTGTAGGGAGCCTCTGCCTCGGGGGTCACGGTGCGGAAGCTCTCTTTTCCCGAGCGGTGGCGTTTAGGGTCAAGTTACCTACCGCTTGGGGCGGAGTTTTAATGCCGAGGAACCTGGTTTGTTTCAGAAGCAGACCCACCCTGTAATGGTCATTTACCATTTTATAAATTACCCAGTGCCATTTAATTTTTCCACCGCACCTTATTTTTCTTTTCTATGCCCTGTTTTAAACATGTAGTCAGCAGGGTTCCCAAGACACGACTGTTCCTATTTCATAACGGAAGTGAGCTGGCGGAGTCGCCGCAAGTGATACCAGTGCAGCTCATCGGGGGCGGGGCCCCTTTGGCCTCTGAGCAGAGCTCAGCCCCTCCCAGGGTGCGGCCGGCTGCGGGGCTGCCTGTCTCCCGCCCGCCCCCCGGGTGGTCTGCGGGTGGTCTGCCTGCGGTGCCTAGTGCCACCGTGGGCCAGAGGTTTGGGGCGGACGGCGGAAGCGCCCAGATTGGGCCGGCAGGAACTGGCCCCACACATTATCGTTTCCTAAGCGTCAGGTCGGAAAGCACGCGTGCCCCAAATGCTGTCCGAAGAAACTTCAGAGTGGAAGCGTGGGCTGTGAGGGCCCCCATCTGGCTACCCAGCCTGTCCCCGGGAGCGGATGGCGCGGGATGGCGGGAGACGTGCGGGGCTGGGGCAGGGCTCGCGGGCAGGGAGCCTCGTACGCAGCGCAGCCTTCTGCGCAGGCGCGGTTACCAACAGCAGCCGTGTCGCGTGTTTGCTTGGTTCTGACTCGGGGAGTAATACACTTGGAAGTTTAAGGTTGCCAACGAACGAACGCAGGTTCAGTATTTGCTCACTGTTTGTATTTTGACTCCGCCGTACAGCTATGTTTTAGGGTCCTCGGCCAAGCAGATCGTGTCCGAAGATAAAGAGGTTTTCAATCTCGAAAGCAGGACCGCGATAGAGAACTCCCTGAAGCAGGTAACTGACTGCGTTCTGCGCGCCTGCGCGCTGCGTGCGGCGCCCCTCCCCGCGCGTCCCCCGGCCGAGCTCCTCCACCCGCGCGGTGCTTGTTTGTCGGTTCACGTGTTCGCACGGGTGGTGTGTGTGGACAGACTGCAAATTAAGCTAAAGCTCTATCAAAAAAAAATAAAATAAAATAAGGCAGCCATTTCATGCCAAAGTCAAAGTACTGTGTATTCTAAAACTACTAAACTGGCCGAAACGCGTCTTTGCGTCACGCCAGCATCCCACTGACGCAGCCCTCATGGAGCGAGCAGCCTGCCCCCGACAGTCGGCGTCTGCTCGGGCAGCGCAGCGACGCGTGGACGAGAGGCCCGCCGATGCGGGGCTGGCAGCCGCTGGTGACGGACTGGGGCCTTGTTTCCGGGAAACTCGGCCTAACCCACCCCAGCGAACGCGCCCTGAGCCGCGGTGCGCGGTAGTCAGAAATTGCGTGGCGACGTGTATCTTCACCACTCCACCACGTGTGGTTTAATCACGAGCGTGTCTGTTTTCCGATGCTCCCGGCGCACCAGATGGAAGACGTCCTGAAAGCCCTGCAGACGAAGCTGTGGGACCTGGAGGCCCGGCTGGCCTTTCCCGGCGCCGACGGCTGAGACGCGCGCAGGGCCCGCCCCAGACCTCCCTGCCGAGGGCGGTGGACGTGCGTGCAGCAGCAGTTCCTGTTACGGGTCCACTCCACGGAGAGCCGGGGGCTCCGGCTGGCTGTGCACCTGGTCGTTTCTTGTATTGATCCATGAGCATAATCGTACAAATAGAAATTTTAAACCCATTTGTGATACTTGCTGGAAATAGGATTTAGAAGGTTTTTTGTTTTTGTTTTTGTTTTTTTAAGGATTTAGAAGTTTTTATTCTGATAAGAAACTGCCACGATTTCTGAACTGTTTTCGCCTTTGTATCCAATTCATTATTCTTCATTTTGTACTTTCTTTAAAACTTTCTTTTGTCTTTACTATTTGAGTAATACGTAATATCATGTAGCAGAATAAACCTTAGCAGTTTTCCTGCTGCTGTGTGACTGGATCTCCTCTAGAAACGAACGCATACAGCTCTCTGGAGAAACCGGCCAGTTGAACCGTTTGTCCGCCCGGATTACTTGAACACTTGCACGGGGACAGAACACCATGACCTCTAATGAGAACCGCCCCCCCCCCACCCCCGTCCCTGTCCGTTCACTGCTACCTGCCTCTGACACCTGTAAGGGTATCTGCCAAAGAGAAGCGGTCATCTCTGAGGGCGGAGTTCGGGGAAGTTTTCAGTTTCCCGGTTTCCTATAATGTAAGATTTACTGTAAGCACACGTTATTTTTATAATCAGGAAGAGAATAAAGATTAAAATGGTGTTTTCTGATTGTTTTTTTTTTTATGAAGATGTGTTATAAAATCCACACCTTTTAGTGGCTTAACAACTGAGTTTCTTGTCAAGACATGGGGCGTGAAAGAATGCTCAGGCCACCGCCTCCAGTGCCAGGGTGTGCGGGGGCTGGGAGCCGGGGTCACCCCCGCAGGCCCCTTCGGGAAACTGTCGGTGGCTTCAGATCGGCCACAGTTGGGAGGATTCACACCAGAGAAGTCATCAAGTGCTACAAAAGGAAGATATTTTCCCCCCAGAGAGCTGGATTCCTAGCACATTACTTTAGTTTAAAAAAATTATTGATTTTTAAAGAGTGAGACGAAGGGAGAGAGAGACTGATGGATTCAGTGGTTGATTCTTGTATGTGCCCTGACTGGGGATTGAACCTGCAACCTTGGCGCATCAGGATGATACTCCAACTGAGCTACCCAGCCAGGGCCTTAGCACATTACTTTACATTTTGAATCTCCATACACACTTGTTAAAAAATTTTTGTTTACTTTTAAGATTGTGTTTATTTTTTTAGAGAGAGGAAGGTAGGGAGAAAGAGAGGGAAAGAAACATCAGTGTGTAGTTGCCTCTCCTGTGTCCCCTACTGGGGACCTGGCCTGAAACCCAGGCATGCACCCTGATGGGGAATCAAACCGGCAACCTTTCAGTTCACAGGCTGGCGCTCAGTCTGCTGAGCCACACCAGCCAGGACCCCTCCACACTGTTTTATTTAAAGTTTGAGAGAGAAGAGAAAATGACTCTTTAACAACCAGTAAGACCAAGTCCTAACATCATTTATCTGAAACGAAAAGCTGTTTCTTCATGCATCAGTGACTACAACCACATTCTGTTGTTTCTCTTCTGGAGAAAAAGCAAAACACATTGAGTCATCCCTGGGTCCCCACGGGGATCAGTTGCAGGGCCTGCCTGGACGCCAGCACCCTTGGGTGCTCAGGTCCCTGAGTAGAAGGGTGTGGCATGTGCCTCTGACCCAGCCCACACCCTCCAGTCTGCTCGACCCCACCCCACCGGGAGGACTCCCAGGCCCTCCCGCAGGGGAGACGCCAGGTGGGTCACCGTGGGACTGCGTTCGGGGAGGGGCGGCGGGAGAGGGTCGTGTGTGATCAGCACAGACGCAGCCGTCACAGGCCCGACCACGCAGTTCACGGCAGCGACCGTGCAACAGTTCTCCCCAAGCATTTTAAAAAATACTGTATCGAGTGTGCTTTTACAGTTGTCCCAGTTTTCCCGCTTTGCCGCCCTCCACCCAGCACCCCCCACTCCCTCAGGCCCCCCCCATTGTTCACACCCATGGTTGTGCATATAAGTTCTTTGGCTGCTCCATTTCCTATCCCCGTGGCTGTTCCGTAACTACCTGTTTGTACTTCCTAACCCTCTCTCTCATCTCTCACCCGTTCCCCCACAGCCCCGCCCCATCTGGCAACCATCAAAACTCTCTCTGTATCCATGATTCTGTCTCTGTTCTTATTTGCTTTGTTTGTCTGTTTAGATTCAGTTGTTGACTGATTTCTATTTTTTTCTCATTTTATTCATAACTGATTTTTTGAACTAAGCCACTTTAACATTTTGTATAATAATGGTTTGGTGATGGTGAACGCCTTTCGTTTTTCTCTTGTCTGGGAAACACTTTATCTGCCCTTCGATTCTAAATGATAGTTTTGCTAGATAGAGCAATCTTGGCTATAGGTCCCTGCTGTGCATGACTTGGAATATTTCTTGCCAGTCTCTCTGGCCTACAAAATTTCTTTTGAGAAATCAGCTGACAGTATTATGGGAGCTCCCCTGTAGGTAACTAACTGCTCTTTTCTTGCTGCCTTTAAGATTCTTTATCTTTAACCTTTGGCATTTTAATTATGATGTGTCTTGGAGTGGGCCTTTTCACATCCATCTTGTTTGGAACTCTCTGAGCTTCCTGGACTTGCATGTTAATTTCCTTCACCAAATTAGGGAATTTTCTTTCATTATTTTTTCAAATAGATTTCCAATTTCTTGCTCTTTCTCTTCTTCTGGTATCCCTATGATGCAAATGTTGGACCTCTTGAAGTTGTCCTAAAGGGTGCTTACACTTTCCTCATTTATTTTTTGGATTCTTTTTTCTTCTTGTTGTTCTGATTGGTTGTTTTTTGCTTCCTTATGTTCCAAATCATTGATTTGATTCTCAGCTTCATCCACTCTACTGTAGATTCCCTGTAAATTGTTCTTTATTTCAATTAGTGTCCCCTTCATTGCTGACTGGGTCTTCTTTATGCTGTGAGCTCCTTCAGCATCCTGATCACCAATGTTTTGAACTCTGCATCTGACAGATTGCTTAATTCCATTTTGCTTAGCTCTTTCTTCTGGAGTTTTGATCCGTCCTTTAATCTGGGCCATGTTTCTTTGTCTCCTCATTTTGGCGGCCTCCCTGTGTTTCTTTCTACATATTAGGTAGAGCTCCTTTGACTCTGTGTCTTGGTAGTGTGACCTAATGTAGTAGGTGACCTTTGGGTTCCAGTGGCACAGCCTCTTTTATCACCCAAGCTAAGTACTTGAGGGGCCTCCTCTGTGTGGGCTGAGCACACCCTCCTCTTGTGGTTGAGCCCTGGTTGGTGTTGGCAGGTCAATGGGAGGGATTTACCCAGGCCAGTCAGCTGCAAGGACTGGCTGTGACCATTGACCACCAACCTCCACCCTCTGTGGAGGATCAGCTGTGCAGGGGCAGGGTGGTGGTTCTCTGACATGGTCTGTAGCTGTCCACTGGGTGCACAGGCTCTGGGTTTCCTGGGTGGTGCAGGCCAAGGTCAGCCCCCACCTGTGTTCCGCCCAGGGCCACCCTGCCTGAGCTGTAAAGCAATCTGAGGTGGCTGTTACTTTGCTGGGTTTGGGGATTCCCAGGCGAAGCCAAGCTGGCAGCTGCTGGCTGCCTGGGGCTCATTCAGCTGGATTTCTGACAGTTTTGAACGATGGTTGTTCTATATTTTGGTTGTAATTTTGATGTGGTTGTGCAAAGAGGCGAGCCGTGTCTGCCTATGCTGCCATCTTGACCGGAAGTCCTTTCCGAATATTTTCAGTCAGTGGTTGGCGGAATCTGAGGATGCGGAGCTGGTGGATAGAGGGCTGACTGTACCCAAAAAAGTAAATGACTTAAGGTTTTATGTAAATAGATAATGTTATAGAAATCTTTTGCTCTTCCTGATTAACCTAAATAGCTGGGCTGTTCCACGCCTGTGAACAAGCCAAGGAAGTCCATTTGCAATCATTTTTCAATTGAATTGACACACAAAAATAAAAAGACACTACCCCGAATGCGGTGGTGAGTGGGGTTAGAATTCGATGTTGACCGTGTAGCTAGGAATGCCAAGGGGAAGTTAACAAGCGGAACCTATTTACATGGGTAATTACCCACCTGTGATCACTCTGTCTTACCTATTCCATCCTCCTCCTCCCACATCAAGTTTAAAATACTCTGTATCAAAACAAACATTCTTTCCTAACCAAATACAATGAATTCTTGGGTTGGGGGCGGATGTAGATGCGACTCTGCCACTTGAAACGAGATGCAGAATCAGTGTGCTCTGTGGGTGCAGGGCAGGAGCCTGGGCCACGCCAAAGGTCCGGTAGTCAGCACCGTTGGGGACCGCCTGCGGGTTCTGGTGGTCAGCAGGAGGCCCTGAGGAGGACGCTGTTATCGACGTGGAGATTCACAAGACCCCCTGGGGCCATCTGAAATAGCTGCCCTCGTGACCCTGATAGGTCAGGGAGGTGGGGGCAGGGTGACCTCAGGGCTGGGGTCCACAGCCCGTGAGCTTGAAGAAGCTAAAGAAGAGTGGTTACCCAGACTCCTCAGCGTCTGGGCGTGCGGGGACCTGCCTCCCCAGAGTGGAGGCCTGTGGTCTCCAGAGTGGAGACCTGATGGAGCAGCCCACCCCCCACGGGAGGGGCCTTCCTCCCAGCCCCCGGAAGACCCACAGGGCGGACACCCACTGGGAGCTGGTTGGGAGCGCAGACCCCCAGGCCCAGCCCTGCTGCCTGTGAGCAATGCCCAAGCTGAGCAGCGCCCTCGGGTCCCCTCTCGTCCAGGTTGGAGGTGGGCTGGTGCAGGGGACAGTGGCGCAGCGCCCCTCTCCTGCGTCCTTCCGCTCTGTCCCGGGTCACTGACCGCTCTGATCACCGCCCGCAGGCTTTTAGGCCTGCTGGACCCCGAGAAGTGGGCTCCTCCAGTGTGGAGCTGGGCTTGTTTTTCCCTAGTCCGACCACCAGGGGCCGCGTTTCACCACATCAGTATTCACCCCGTGCAGCCTGCAGACACCCCTCCGCCCTGGTCACCAAGTTCCTCAACTGAACTAACGGTCAAGGCCTCCCCCAGCCCCTGCCAGACTGCCAGCCGCTCAGGTTGCTCAGGGCCCTGAAGTCGCCCCCTGCTCCCCCACCAGCGCTGCCCCGAGAGGGGGAGGGCCTGCCACACTGGGAGTCCACGTTTCCCCCTCCAGCTGTTCCACTGAATTCCGTGCTGCGTCCCCTCCCCCAGGGCTCCCCCTGCTGCCAGCTGGGGTGGGGACGGCCAAGGGCCAGGTGTCCGGTTTCCCAGAGCGGCGCCCCGATCCCCAGCGCTCCCCTGGAGTGCTCCTGGGCAATGCGACCACGGAGTCCTTTAGACAGGCCAAGGGACAGTGTTGTCTGCGTGAGCTGCCTGCCGAGTCACACAGTTTCCTTCCAAGTGGAGGGTTTTCTGGAGCCTCAGGGTGCCGTAGCCCCGCTTGCCCCCGGGGACACCTTCTAGGGCCCGCGGGTGCCTGAGACCCGTGTGCAGGGGTGGGCAGAAGGGGGACCACCGCCGCTCGCAGGAAGGGACGGGAATGAGGACGCAGCACGGCGTGAACTGATGTGTGTGCCCACCCCCGGTCCGCTGCGTTTCACACAGGCAGGCCTTTCCGCTGGACGGGAGCCGTTTCCGGCTTCTCTCGGGCCTGCCGGGGCCCCTGG